TACAGAGAGCGTGCACATGAGTGCACATATTGTAGATTTATGGATGTCACAGAACATGGGCAAGGCGGGTAAGTTACATGGGGACAAATGTGTTTCTGCTGTTCCTTTCAGTAGTTATGAACAGTGGGTGAAGCATTTTGTGAAGGAGTGTTGTGCTAACAAATGTAGAGCTGATAAACTCAAGTTCCTGCTACGCAGTAATTGATCCAGAGAGCCTACAAGCATGGGGTAGCCTCCTCTGCAAAACTCACAACTAAAGCCACCAGGCATCCTGTCTTCCCTTGAGTTGGGGACCTGGGGTGTGTGCTGAACATGTAGAGTTTGGGGAAATCCATGGTCTAAGTGAGGTTGCTGGGCCTTGAAGAGCAGGCACCAAGTGAGGCGAGTCCAGAAATCCCGTTTGAGCAGTGCAGTGCAAAAGGCCACTGAGTAGCACCTTGGAGAGCACCCTCTAGCTAGGGGTGCTAAGAACTCTCCAAGAGTGAGCTGTTGTCTCAGCAACCTTCTCAGGCCTTATGAAGACTGAATGACCCAATATTTCCTTTTAGTTCTGGCCCCCAAGGAGCTGTTTAAAAGGTCATTTTTGTAACCACTGACCTGAGGCCCGAGGGTGACAAGGACTGCCAAGTGTGTGTATGTATATAAAATTTCCAGACACTTTGAAGTCATGATAAAAGCCACTCAAGGGGCCTGCTTCCATTCCCACTGCCCTCCTCTTCTTTATACAAATAGACACAGTTACAGGAAAAGTGCAACTTAACAGCCTTCATTAAGCATTACATCAAACTCTAAATGTTCTGATTTAGGCTGCAATCCCACTCAAGAGCTCCACTGCAAGGAATTAAGCATAGTCCTTATTTTACTTAATTCAGGAAAGCAGTTCCTTTCCTGGTAGTTCAACTGTTTTCTGGGGCAGGTAGGAAGAAGGGGGGGAAAACCTCATCCAGCTGCCTTCCATGACTTTTCCATGCTTCCTGGTAAGCAGACATTGAAGTAAAAGGGTCCACTGATTTAGATTTGTTTCCCTGTCTATGCTTACTTTTTCCAGGGGTTCAGAGTGGTACCTTTCTTCCCGCATTGACTGCTACTCACTGGACACCCAGGTGTCTTCGTCTCCAGGAGTTTTCTCTCCATCTTTGGTTTGAGAGGAGCTCCAGCCTGCTATTCTGGTGTGACCCCTTTGTCTTCCACCAGAGCTCCTTTTATAGAGAACTCTATTTCCAAGGTCATTCCTTGCAGCTGGATCTAACTCCAGCTGTGCTCCTCCCACCCCACCACCACCCCATGAATTGAGGCTCTGATTTTGCATCAAAGTAAGTAGGAAACCTCAGATGCAGCAGTGGTGGTGTCCTTTACAATACTAATTATAGATTTTCTTTAATTTTGCAATAGTGTATTTTATTTCATTTTTTAAAACAATTACATAATCAGAAAACAATAACTTGGGTGTTTTTTGTTTTTGCATAAAATTAAACCGGAGTTAAAAGGAGCAGAAATTCCTGTGTTTGCTGCTACCTTTTTCCTTTTGGTGGGCACAGTACTGCACAGTCACAGCTACAATGGAATCCTCAACTTCTCAATCATCTTTTCTGGGCAACAATCATTTCTCTTTTAGGAAAGCTGAAAAAGCTTCAGAATGACCCAAGCCTTCAAAATGCACCTTCTCCACTGGCTGAATCTAGAGGTAAAAACAGAGAGAGAGAGAGAGAGAGAGAGAGAGAGATGCATCAAGGAATGACTTCAAATAAACCAGAAGCCTCTCCTCCATTGTTTGGATAAGTCTTCCTCATGGGTAGGCCAACCAAGGCCCAGGGGCGATTAACCGTCAACCATCTTAGATGCGGCCACTAGTGCCAGCCAGATCTTCCATGGGCAAGGTGATTGCCAGTGCTGCTCAATCCGGCACGCGGACAGTCCGGAATCAGCGTGTCCTTACATGGGTAGAATGTGCCTCTTTATTTAAAGATGCATCTCTAGGTCATTTGACGGGGCATAGGGAAATTCCTATTCATTTGTATCTTTCCGGCTCATAACATCGACCTAACATCCTCAGACTGTCTGAGGGACAGTGGGATCAGCCCCTCCTGCTGCAAAAAGGTTGCATGATCCCCTAGTCTTCCTGGATCCTCAGTTCTGTCCATTCTATACATTTTCTACGTCTACATTTGCACATAGATCATCAGGGATTTGGGCTGGGTGTTCATCAGTATGCAGATGATACCCAGCTCTACCTCTCTTTCAAATCAGAACCAGTGAAGGCAGTGAAGGCCCTGTGTGAGTGCCTGGAGGCGGTTGGAGGTTGGATGGCGGCTAACAGATTGAGGTTGAATCCTGACAAGACAGAAGTACTGTTTTTGGGGGACAGGAGGCGGGCAGGTGTGGAGGATTCCCTGGTCCTGAATGGGGTAACTGTGCCCCTGAAGGACCAGGTGCGCAGCCTGGGAGTCATTTTGGACTCACAGCTGTCCATGGAGGCACAGGTCAATTCTGTGTCCAGGGCAGCTGTTTACCAGCTCCATCTGGTACGCAGGCTGAGACCCTATCTGCCTGCGGACTGCCTCACCAGAGTGGTGCATGCTCTGGTTATCTCCCGCTTGGATTACTGCAATGCGCTCTACGTGGGGCTACCTTTGAAGGTGACCCGGAAACTACAACTAATCCAGAACGCGGCAGCTAGACTGGTATCACTGATCTCAGACCACATAACACTGTCTGAAGCCTACATAGCTCCTGTCAGACAGTTCAAGTTAGTGCTGACTTTACTCTAAGCCTGTCATATGTCTAAGATCTCTCCATCGTTCACGACACTGGTCCACACTGACTTTCATGACAATCCTCTGGTCATGCCTGGGTCTCGTAGTCCTTCCCTGTCATTCTAGCCTAGTGTCAACATAATTTATCATCTTGTTCTGTCGAGCGTCTAGCAGTGTTTAATGCTGTTTTCAGCATTGTAACATATTTCTAGCGGCCGTCAGTGGCAGTATAGAAACAGATGTTATTATCCTCTTTATTTCTTGCAATCATTCCTTTTAGGAAAGCTGAAAAAGCTTCAGAATGACCCAAGCCTTCAAAATGCACCTTCTCCACTGGCTGAATCTAGAGGTAAAAACTTAGAGAGAGAGAGAGAGAGAGAGAGAGAGAGAGAGAGATGCATCAAAGAATGACTTCAAAATAAACCAGGAAGCCTCTCCTCCATTGTTTGGATAAGAATCTTCCTCATGGGTAGGCCAACCAAGGCCCAGGGGCCAGATGTGGCCCAATCGCCTTCTCAATCTGGCCTGCGGACAGTCCGGGAATCAGCGTGTTTTTACATGAGTAGAATGTGCCCTTTTATTTAAAATGCATCTCTGGGTTATTTGCGGGGCATAGAAATTCATTCATTTTGTATTTTTCCCCTCCAAAATATAGTCCGGCCCCCCACAACGTCTGAGGGAAAGTGGATCAGCCCCCTGCTGAAAAAGGTTGCTGACCCCTAGTCTTCCTGGATCATTTTGAAACGTGTGTGTGTGTGTGTGTGTCTTCCCTTGGGCTTGTAGGGCTCTACATTTTCCTTAACCGTAGCTCTGTCTTCACTCATTGGCTAAAAGCATTGAAAGGTGGTGACACATTTTGTTCCAGAACTTTAATTCTAAAAGCTCATAGTCAGGCACCTCTAGGCTCTTTGGACCCAGGTACACCAGTATCCTTTGTGTCTGCTTTTCATTGGCCCTGGAAACACTCAAGAGGCACTTCAATACAGCAGCTTCAGTGGAGACAATTTAGAGTAGGTAAATAAGTGGAAAGAAAAGATTAAGCATCCGGCCCCCTAACAGATTGTTCTGAGTGTTCAAAGTAGTGAGTGGGACTAGGGGGGTTTTTTAGGATAAAAAAACCCACATTAAGCCACATCAAACCATGGTTTATCCGGACTCTATCTAGTGTAGCTTTGATTCTCTCAGCAAACTCACCCCAAATTCTTTCTCTGGTCCTTCCAACTTAATGTTTAGGGAAGCTTTTAAAATATTGTATTTTAATATTTTGTTGGAAGCCGCCCAGAGTATCTGGGGAAACCCAGCCAGATGGGCGGGGTATAAATAATATATTATTATTATTATTATTATTAGTGTCAACTTCCAAAGCCTGGGTCCAGGAAGGAACAGTAAGGCTTTTTTTGTCAACCCCCTGAGCTCATCTAAGCCAAACCATGATGCTCATTTAAGCAGAACCACAGCGATAGTGTAGACCCATTCAAAATAATCAAGAGAACCAAGGCTCATGACACCATATAATAACAGTGGATATTGTGTTGGCAGCAGGGAATGAGTCTTTCATAATTTAGCTGTTTAGTTAATGTTTCTGCCCTTTATGTTAAGCTCCCTCTGTTCTCTAAATTAATTTTTGACTCTTATGGTGGGTAATGTTGCTGCTCAGTCACTTATGTAACTTTCACCTAACTGTGTCTTCAGTTTGTCAGAACCGTACAGAGCAGAGATATGACTATAATAACATTGCTCTTAAACTTAACCTATGTAGTACAACAATAATAAATCTGCCTATGTACTTTCAGCAGTGCACTGCTTTATTATCAATGGCATTTTCCTGTAAAAGTTCAAAGCAAGCTTAACTTTCAAGATCAAACACATTCATTAACTGAAGCGGCGCTTCTTTCTGACAGAAAGGTGCCTTAATGACAAAACCAGAAGATGGCACTGTTTTTTAATAGATGAGAGCAATATATATAACATTATTTTTTTTTAAAAAAAAAAATTCAGGATGGAGAGACAGGCAGGTCTGGGAATACAACCTGAAGCTTTAACTTGTTCAGTAATTCTTGTTCTGGTGGGTAACTCTACAGAATTTGAAGGGATAACAGGCTTCAGAAAAGATGTGCAAGACAGAGTACAAAGCTAGCCAGCCAGAAATTAAATCATACAAATACTATGTCGGAAAAAAGCTCATGAACTGTCTAGTTCAGTTCAGTAGGAAAGGACACTTCTATTATGTATTACACGCTGGCACAACAAATTTCCTGTGTGTGTGTGTGTGTGTGTACACACACACACACACACACACACACACACAGTATATACACACCATAATAATAAATATATCTAGCTTCTCTGATTTGGAAGGGTGGGCTGTTTGTTGCATAGGCAGCTTCCTGAGAAGAAAGCAAGTGGAGCCATTCATGTAGGCTGCATGGCCCACTTTGATTCCATAGCTGCAGTTGTTAGCCATGCGGAGAACCTGCCCAACTGAAAGAGCTGAAACAGAAGATGTCAGCCCCTAAACTCAGAACCATCTGGACAGTCCCCTTAAAACAGTAATTTTCAATGGCTTCAGAACTTCTATGAAAGAACAGGTTTCTGAGGAGCCATGAATCTTATCAGAGGTTAGTCCATGAGAAGAAGAAAAAATCAGTAATGAGGGACAACTATCACAATGTTCTCCCACAATGTGCGGTCTGAGGAGATCATTGAATCTGTTCTGGAGTTCCCCCCTCAGTAGCTGTCGCATCATGGGTGAGGTCCTGACCAGCACCCCACGTCTGTCAAACTTCAATCTTTTGACTCCATTAATCCTCTCCTGACCACCCAGCCTTAAAAGTCCATTCTTGTGTTATATGCACAAATGTGTATGCAAGGGAGAAAGGGAGCAGGAGGAGAATGGTGGAGGTGAAATTGTAACAGCTTCAGTGTCTGTGTGTGCAAGTGCACTTGCTTAATAGGTTTTACTCGGACCAAAGGAGAAGGGAACAAAAAATAAATATTGACAGGAGATAGGGAGAGAGAGCAGAGCATATGGTGCAGAGGTTTATCACATCATTCTCCCAAAAGGGAGATTTTCCCAAGACTTCTGGGTTAGCGCCTCCGGCAATGGCGGATTTCCTCTGATCGGGAGGAATCCGCTTCGTGAGAACTAGGGTCTGGACCGCCGCGGCGAGGCGGAGACCCACTAAAAACCACAGGCGGGAGAAGCCTGTGGACGTGGGATTCGGCTGGCACCTTTTGCGCCTCCCCTACTCGCGGGGAAACCCGGTTTCGGGGATCCGGAGCGACGTGGGGTGAATGGCGCGGTGCTTCGAATCGACTGCTCTTTTCACGGAGTGAAGCCGCATTGCTGTTGCCGGAGAGCTCTGACTTTTTCCTGTGGACAATTGGATTTTAAACAACTGCCCGTGAGTAGAACGGAAAATTGGACTATGAAACTTTTTAATTTGGCACCGAAGCGGGAAGGTCTAAACAGGAAGTCCGCCTTCCGCTTTTGTAAATAGATTGAAGCAAAGACATTGCAAGCTAGAGTCTGGAAAGTCGTTTGTAAAGGACTAAATTTCCATCAGTTAAAATTACTAAACCCCCCTTGGAAGCAGGAGAAGAGGGGGGAAATCTTAGACTGTTTAAACCTGCAGAAGAGAGAGTAAAGAAAGATAAATTTCCACTGTCTTGAACCTGGGAGCGGGATGTCAGAGACAGACGTTTTGGGGAAGTTCATTGACTGTGGATAAAATGTTTTTGACAGATAGTTAAAAAAGAGAAACATATTGATTCTAATGTTCCCTTTTGCACTTAAAAGGAACAAAATATCTGAAAAACGAAAGGAATTTTGTTGCTAGATCTGCTTTTAAAAAGACGGATACAAACAGAAATTGTTTCCTCTAGAGGGAGCTTGTGAAACTGTTGCTGGAGTTGATCTGGGGAATTCTACAGCTGTAGAGATTAAAGATTGTGAGACCAGACATTGACCTTGAACAAGAATGTGCCCAGAAGAAGCTTTAGTGCTTGCTTTTTGCAAGACAAGTGCTTTACTGGAACAGCTACATGAGAAGATGGATTTGATGACTGTTGCAGTTGGCAATTTTGGACAAACAGTGAATACCTATATAGAAACCACTCAGGAACCAACCCAGGAATGTGCTTTGACAGAGCAAGTTGTGAAGAAGATAAAGGAGGAGGTTGTTGCTGAACCTCAAGTAATAGAAATGGAGAGAGCTGCGGCCTTGCAGGAACATAAGTTGTTGTTTCTGACGACTGAACCTGGAGAAAGTCAGATTTGGAGAGATGGAGTACTGTTTGGTCTGGAGATGGGAAGTTGGATAGATCCGCCTATGCAGGGATGTTTTGACTTTTCGGATCTGGTTTTGGGCCAGGGGGAGTTTGGAGTTGTGGGGGCCCTTAACCTTGGAGGGACTTTGAAACATGCCTTCAAATATCTTTTGGATTTCAGTGCTGACTATGGAGAATGGGCTGACTTGTTGAGAAGGGATAAAGATATTGTCAAGTTGGAGTCTCCCCCGAGAGAAAGGAAGGAAATTAAGAATAAGATCAGCAGAAGATAAAGTAAAGTGCAGGTATAAATATGAAGAAGACCTGCAGAAGGGACATGGAAAAGACTCAAGAGCCTCGGATAGAAGGTCACCAGGTTGATGGACTAGATGGAAGGGATAGAAAGGACTGATAAAACCCGAGACCAGGAAGAAGAGACGATGGATGAAGATTGGAAGAAAGTTTTAAAAATTCATTTAGAAAATGTAAAATTAATGAGTATTAGAAAAATGTTGGAATGAAACTATTTGGCTTTAGTAGAAATGTTAAAAAGAATTATGTATAAATAAGTTTTAAGTTTTAAGCTTTAGGGCTTTTCATGGTAAGATAAGGTTAAAATAAATTAAGGTAATTTAATGACAGAATATAGTGAAAGATGGAAAGGATTTGCTGAGATAATTAATAACTAGAATACAAAAAAGGGAGGTGTGAGGAGGTCGATGAAACAAGTTAACGAAAGACAAAGATTTGGGAATATTGGATTTGTTTTTAAATTTTTTGTTTATTTTTGTTTTTGGTTTTGATGTATTGTGTGTTTTGTTTTTTCTTTTTTTCTTTTTTCATTTTATTGACTTGTATTGTTTAATTTCTCTTTCTGTCTACCTTTTTTCCTTTTCCTTTTTTCTTCTTCTCTCTCTCTGTAATTTTAAATTCTCAATAAATATCTTTTTTTTTTTTTTTTTTTTTAAAAGGGAGATCTTCCCTGCAGGACCAGGTCACCCATGAGGCAAGGTGAGGTGAATACCTCAGGTGGCAGAATTCACAGGCGCAGCAATTCTGACCTCCAAGGAATGATTGCAGCACACTCCTTGGAAGCTAGATCTACCATCTCCTTGGCAGCACACTCCTATGCCACTCTACAGCGGCCCCTTGGCGAATAGGAGGTCTGCTGGCCTCCTCCCACCCTTGTTGCTGATGTAGATTTTCACTCACCCCTTCTTCCCTGGTGGAGGGGAGGCACCATTTTGTGGTTTGTCTCAGGTCCCAAAATATACTGGGCTGGCTCTTTTCTCCAGTGTGGCTAGAAGGCTTGGACTAAAGACATGGGGACACCTTACTTCACATGCTGTAAGAATCAAGCTCCCCACACCTGTGGTTATTGAAGGGGGAAAAGCAAGATAAGCAGCTGTATGCCGTGTGAACCTCTAGTTTGACCCCAAGAACATTGGATCGTTCAATAGTGGCTGGGGCAGAAACGCTCAGTTCAAACTGTCAGCCCGATGATCATCTGCAGAGGTGAGTTAAACAGACCGGAAGAGCCCAGACAGGGCAGCTCTGCTGGAGAAGGAGATATGCTGAATGAGCCAGAGGCTAAAAGCATGGAGAATAGCACATTTGGACGGAGTTTCAAGCATGAAGGGAGTTACGACAGGGAAGGAGTAGCAGGGAAAGAAAAGAGCAATGAAGCCATGGGCAAGCTTTCCTACAGCAACTTAGGACGTATTAATTCTGGGGCTAGCCACCACAGTTGCAAGTCAATGAGGGGAAGGGTTACCTTAAGGAAAGCAGAGGCTGCTGATACATCTGGGGATACAGGGATTAATGGGGTTGCAAACTGCTTTACAAAACCCACCAGATTTCAGAAGGTCTCTGAACTCATTCAAATGGATCCATAGTGAGACCGTGGAAGCTCTCGCAATGTCTCTGAACATGCTATGGATAGATATGAAATTTGAGGAGGGGGTTTTGCAGATACACTTCATGCTACATATATGATAATAATAGGTGGAAAATTACTACCAAAGACACATCCTTTGCAGTGTACTACAGCAAAAGAAATGGCATGTCAACTGTACTAGAACGCCGAAGAACAGATACATTGGAATAAAGTGACAGGATTGGGTCCCCCTAGAACTAACATAATGGTTTCTCTCAGTGCAAAGAAATGAAAAGTTATAATGGTAATAACAATTCAAAGAATCCACTGCTTCAATTTCCATTCATTGGCAAAGCTCTCATTATACACATTTATACCCCACCTTTCCTTCAAGAAGTTCAGGATTGCATACATAGGTTCTTCTATTTTATTCTTACAACAACTCTGTGAAGTATGTTAACTTGGTTAATCTAAGATCACAGAGGCTGCTTTGAACCCAACTATGCGCAGTTGGACATACTAACCACTACACTGGCCGTTGTAGTGGGTTAAACAAACCACATTCCTATACAAATCAGGGCTTTCTTAATATTTAAATCCATTTCTGAAAGGAACCTTCCAGATATCTATACATAATATGCCATGAGCAGCAGTCCTGAGGGAGATTTTCCTAGCATTAAGTAGCAGCAAGCCTTCAGGAAAAGCATTCAGGAAATATATATATATATATATATATATATATATATGAAAAGCTGGTTCATTTTTTTAAAAAAGCCAGGCGTATTCCCACTTGAACTTTGTTGAGAGAAAACCAGTGTGGGATTTGAACCCAGGTTCCTGTTCTAAGTGCATTAAGCAGAAGTCCTGATATCCACAGCAACAGTGTGCCCAATACCCATACAATTCTTCATAAATGTGCATTAACCAGAAGGGTGATGTAAAAGATTGCTGGTAATTATTACATAATTTCTTGATGGAATTCACTTTTTGGGAGGTTCGGGGTAGGCAACAGACATGTTATACTTTGCTCCAGGACTCACTGAGTCTTTGAGACCTTAATAACAGCAAGCTAGAAATGGAGGCAGCTGATATGCCCTGGAAAACCTCAAGACATTAAATAAAACAAAATTAAGTGAGATCCAAACCTGCACACATCTTCTCAACGGCAACAGAATAAATATTTTATAGCACGCCAGGAGGCAGAAAGTCCAAAAGAACCTAGCATTTCAATTGGTGAGATGACAACTTATTAAAGAAAAATAATAATCCTGAGCCTGGAATAATGTGAGTCAAGAGAAATAAATCCATGACAGAGATTGTGAGGATGAAGGAAGTTATTTCAGACGTGTCACGTTACGAACGAAATTGAGGCATATGACGTTTCTCATTGCATGTGCCCCGAGATAACCTGATCAACCTGGTCCATCTAATTTGTGGAGATGTTGCACAATTTCAGTGTCCGCTGATTCAGCAAGAGCATCTCAGTTCATGAATTTAAAGCCAACAGGGACTATTCTGTGCCTGGGGTTTGGTTTTCAGGTGTATTACAGCCTTTCTCAAATCCTCACAGAGAGCCTGAGCAGAAGGTTTAGTACTAAAGCCTGAGGCATATGCATACCTAAAATCCAAAATAAGCACCCAGGAGAGGTTTCACTTGTGTCAAGATTACAGTGTTTTACCCTGCCAGGCTAAGACTTATTTATTTGCTCAGGCTGTAGTCTGTTTGGGGATTTTAGCTGTTGCTGTTTTAATTTTTTCTTGTCATACGAACGGATTACATTTTGTTTTTATTATATGTTGTTGTCGATTGCCATGACATCCGTCTGGATGAAGAGTGGTTCAGAAATTTTAAGATTAAATAAACCAGTAAGCAATACTAAATCCGTTAACAAAAAGGGGTCACCAGCCCTTTGGGGCCAGTGGGCACATTTGGATTTTTGAGAAAGTGCCATAGGCATCAGTCACAAAATGTCTGCCATGGGAATGTGGCTTTGCGCAAAATGGCTGCCACATCTAAAAGAAGAGAAAAAGATACAGGATCACAATGGGAACAGACATGCCCATTCCTCAAAGCAGGTCCCCCATCAAGAGACACACCTACATCCACCACCACTGTGCTTGCTCACAGACAAAAGTTATTTGCATCTCTCCTCTTTTAAAAGCCTTTACATTCACTGAAATGTGGTCATGTTTAAGGGGCTGTGTACAATATAGAAGTCAAGCAAGCACAATCAAGAATTGGGAAGATAGAGCAAACTGTCCCCTATGTATTGTGGATTACTGGGACCTTTTTCAGGCACTATAAAAGGTAGTGGTGCCTGTGGGTGCTGCATTGGTGACCCCTGTCTATGAGCATTTAACAGATGGAAAATGAACATCTTGGACAAGCAAATGACTCAGGACCTGGAAGTTAATTTGTGAGATCTGAATCGGATACCTCCAAAAATGTTTTTTTTAATTATTATTAAAAAAACATTGCTTACCTCTGTTAGATAATGAAACTCTCTTTCTCAACCTATTGTTTCTCATCTGCAGCCAATGAGAGTAATTCCAGGCCACTCTTAACTGTAATTATGTACCATTGATTTCTGTGGGATTTAAGCACATTGAACTGTATGGTGGATTGAACCAAGAATGATTGTTCCCTTATTAACACTAAAGCCAAACTATACTTGAGATCCATGCATATTTCAGAGGTGCTCATTTATTAACAAGAAACAGGACAGTTTGCTGGGGTGATGTGAAAGATGGAGATTTGACTGAATTTGTGAAATGAAAAGGACCTTCTGAGTATGGTATTTTAGGAAATGAATGTGACAAGAAGCCAATCTTTTTCCTTAAAAAAAATACAGAGCAGGTCCACTTATGTGCATTAAGGAACTTGTGCAATTTAAATAATTTTGCCCCAAAAGTTATGGAGGAAGAATAATTACTTCTAAGTCAATTTCCTGTTCATTTATTCAGCCTGGATTTTTTCTCCCCCAAGTCCATTTTCAGATCGGCATGCAGGAGTATATGCACATCCCTCGTTATCACTAATGGGAACTTCAAAGCAGCATATAATTTTACTGGGCTATTTTGTCTGACTTGTATTACACCTGTCAATCCGATTTCCTTCTGCTATTTCATTAATATTTAAATGCTAATATTTAAAGGTCAAGCTTAGCTTGCAGTAATATTTAAAATACCATTCTTTCCTGGTTTCTAGAAAGACCATGTGGGAAAATATTCATCAGGAGATATATATGTGTAACATGAAGCGAGGAAATGAAATCAGTGCTGCGTTTTATGTATTCCCCTCCTCCACTTCCTTGCAACGTCTTCATCTCTGCCAACTATGCACTCTCCTTCAGATCAGATCAGCCTTCCCTCTCCTACTACCCCAATCCATTTAGAATGTGCATTTGGCGTTTAAGCAGCTCATTCCAACCAAGAAACCTCAGCTCTTGGCATTTGTGTCCTTCGCCACGTTTTCTGACGGTTCCGTTAGTTTTCCATATGGCAAATCCATATTTACCAAAATGCTTATGACATATCATTCAGTTTGTTTATGACATTTCTGAATTGCTCCTCCTACCAGAGGAGCCCAGGGCAATGTACATGCACATTAGAATATAAAAACAAAGGACACATTCCACAAAATGGAATGATGAGCAAAATAGCTGTAAAACCAGAACCATTAATACACCCCCCCTCCCCACAAATCTGCAGTCTTCACTAAAGGGGCAATATATTTAAACAGCCTACCCTGAGTTTGTAAAAGCTGACTTAAACAAAAATATCTTCAACCGATTTCTAAATATATACTGTATTTTTTGCTCTATAAGACTCACTTTATCCCTCCTAAAAAGTAAGGGGAAATGTGTGTGCGTCTTATGGAGCGAATGCAGGCTGTGCAGCTATTCCAGAAGCCAGAACAGCAAGAGGGATTGTTGCTTTCACTGCGCAGCGATCCCTCTTGCTGTTCTGGCTTCTGGGATTCAGAATAATTTTTTGCTTATTTTCCTCCTCCAAAAACTAGGTGCGTCTTATGGTCTGGTGCGTCTTATAGAGCGAAAAATACAGTATTCCAAATTATGATGCCACCCAGGACCCATGAGGAAGAGTGAAGCAGCTGCAGAATTCCAAGGGGTGAGATCTTGCCCCACCCCTTTCTTTGCATAGGATGGCCACTTGGAATTACTGCAGAGACTTCCAGCCTGGCCCTCCTGTTCTCAAGATCTGTATTGGAGTCCGGCTAGATATTTCAAGGCCTTACATATTCACAACACATTAAAGTCATACCTTAAGAGACCACTGCTTCTGTTCAATATTTCACACTCACTCTAGAGGTTGGGGAAGCCTGTGGCCCTCCAGATCTTATTGGACTGCAACTCCATCACTCCTGATCAATTTACTTCATGGCATGGACCTCATTGGTTTTGTTTGTTTTAGTTGAATTATTCTGATTGCAGGAGGTATGCTCTAGGGGGCTAAGGCAGGCAAGGACCCACAGCCCAGGTGGGGCTCGCTAGCTTGGGGAGGAGGTTTGTGATTCCTCAGCTGGAGTAGGCTCAGGATGGGTCACAGATGCTGCAATGAACATGCAAGATATAAAAGGAAAACTGTCCTGGTTGGTGTCATGGCCAGGCTTCAAAGCTCAGCAGGAAAGGCTCGTAGCTCAGCGGTAGAGCACGTGTTTTTGCATACAGAAAATCCCAGGTTCAATCCGTGGCATTTCCAGGGCTGCCAGTCAGTGCAGACAATATGGAACTGGAAGTGCCAACAGCATAAGACAGCTTCCTACATTCCACCTACAAAGTCCTGTGTCATTGCTGATGTGGGTTGATTTCAGATATGCAGGCAAAGCAGGGGTAGGCAAACTAAGGCCCGGGGGCTGGATCCGGCCCAATCGCCTTCTCAATCCGGCCCGCAGACGGTCCGGGAATCAGCGTGTTTATACATGAGTAGAATGTGTGCTTTTATTTAAAATGCATCTCTGGGTTATTTGTGGGGAATAGGAAATCGTTCATTCCCCACCCCCATATATAGTCGGCCCACCACATGGTCTGAGGGACGGAGGACAGGCCCACGGCTGAAAAAGGTTGCTGACCCCTAAGGCAAAGAATAAGGCTTCACCTGCCACCATTGTGATCTCCACTGACTGACAGATGGGCAGCCCCACCTACCTGTCAAACTGGCCCATGGACTTAGGTGACTTAAGGATCTGGCCTACCAGCTAGAAAGTATTCCCCTACGCATGAGGTATCAGGAGTGCTCCACATTTGCATTGCATAAATAAGCTTCCCCAAAGATTCACTGGAGTGCTACCCTAAGCATACTTCGAAAGTGGTAGAAGACTTTCCCCTGTGTTGTCAGATGGAGATGAGTAATTTGCAGTTTATTCACTTTCGTTTACGTTATTTATAGCAAAATGTGTTACCTGCCCTGAGCCTCCAAGGGAGGGCCAGATATAAACTCAATTAACTAAATACATTTCCTGGCATCTCCAGTCACTTGTGGCTTTTGATCTGAGATATTTAGATTTTGAACAGTGATTACAAGTTGTTTTAGCCTTGAGTCTCCATTCAGTGGAAATGTATTCACAACTACGACGTCGTACATGTCTGCTCAATGTGTAGCCCTTACTAAATTCTGTTGTCAGACTCAAAAAAGGAGAATCTAAAAGGCTCATAATTTTGAACGCTGGAGATGATGATCAACGACACAGCTGTTTATTCTAAATGTAATCTCATTTCTGCAAATCTAAAGGAAGGGTTGATGGCAAATCATGACTAATTTTCTTGCTCTTTCCATTTCTCCTCACTTAATATTGTTAATTAAATTAGGTTCTCCCTTCCAGCTGTTTATAAGACAACAACCAGATGCCTGCCTTCATTCCACAAATGGTAAAAGTTTCAACTAGAAAGGGAATTAAAATGTGGGGAGAGGGAAAGAAAGAAACACATTTGGATGTGTCTTCTTTTATAGTCAAATTATATACAGTATTGCAGTATATAAATGCCTGATATTGTATCATTTCTGGCATAGCATAAGAAAACAAAATATTTCATGGAATAAGTGATTGTTCTTAAGTGCAGCAGTTTCTTTGAATAACAGTAGTAATAATAAAAATAAAACATTCACATTTTCTGCTGCCATAGAAACCATTTTGGGAAACTAGCAGATTGGAAATAGAGACATGGGCCTCTGGCTTTACATTTATATTACATTTCCGTTCCCTTTTTAAATATGACAAATGATCCCTTGTTTCTGTTTGATTCACAGTTTATTGATCACATTTCTAGATTTAGGTTTGTGGTGTTTTAAGAAATGCTTTCGGATTTAAGAGACAAGATTTGCACTGAATCAACAAGTAGTGTGTATACTGAGCAGCTGCCCCATACACAGTTCAGGGCAGGTCACAGGTGATTAAAATGGATGAGGTGATTAAAATAGATGAGAAGTGATCACTTATTAAAAGGTGCTTTGTTAATACGGGCCATATTTCACATTATTATGGTGAGCTAGCCAATGAGCCCCTGTCACAAATAATGTCCATTGCACCAACTGCCTGCAATACATCATTGTCACCATGTTAGTTCTGACTCTGTTGACGCAACCATCCAACACTCCAGGGTGGACCATCCACAGAACTCATTGAGTTGATCTTCTACTGCATCTCCATCCAAGTTTGACGCTTGTTCACCAGGATGGAGATTCAGGAGCGCCAACGTCTTTCGTGCCTCTTGCAAAAAAGCACAATGATCTACCATCAATTCCTCTATGGGAAGGCTTCTAGGAGAGAGGGGAGCAGGTGAAGACCCCTTCAGGGCCTCTTCCAGCAGAACAATCTCCTCCCTCCACACCCACCCCTGCATTGGATGTGTTGACATTTTAACACATATTAAATCAGTTTATATCTTTTTTGTATTATTATTATTAAAATGCAATTTACCGTATTTTTCGCTCCATAAGGCGCACCGGACCATAAGGCGCACCTAGTTTTTAGGGGGGGAAATCAAGAAAAAAAATCTTATTGCCCCCCCCAGCCCCAAAGAGCAAAGAGTCTTGCTCTCCCGGCTTTAGCAAAAGGAACCCGAAGCCTTTGGAGCGCAGTGCGAGGTCCCGCTGTGCTCCAAAGGCTTCAGGGATAGCCACCTGAAGCCTTTTGAGCGCAGCGGGAACTTGCGCTGCACTCCAAAGGCTTCAGGTTCCTTTCGCTGAAGCCGGGAGAGTCTTGCTCTCCCAGCTTCAGCAAAAGGAACCCGCTGGTGCTCACCGACCCCTCTCGCTCTCCAGGCTTCAGCGAAAGCAACGCATAGTCTCCGGAGCACGGCGGGAGTGCTCCCTCTGCGCTTTGGAGGCTTCGCGTTGCTATCACTGAAGCCAAGGAGCCTGCATTCGCTCCATAGGACGCGCACACATTTCCCCATAATTTTTGGAGGGGAAAAAGTGCGTCCTATAGAGCGAAAAATACGGTATTACCTCCTGGAGGCCAGATGCCCAATATTTTGTGGGGTATGAGTGTGTTGAACAGGACACTGTAGTGGAATGCAGCAACTGCAAGTTCATTAAAAAGTCATTTTTTCAAGGATTCTCCTTGACCTTAAAACACCTTTGTGAATGTCAAATGTTCTCTTCCTCAACCTTGAAGAGAAGTGTAAAACACACACATACCCAAGGGACTTTCCCAAGGTCACACAAGGAACTGGAAAGCAGAGTTGAAGCCCAAGTTTCCCCTGCTAGCTGCTTCAAAGCGGTGCTGAAATTTTCAATTTAAAAGTGCAGCAAAGTCAGCTCTGGTAATTTTAGCTTTTTCTCCGCTTTATCTAATGGAATCCAAGTATGCTATTTCCCATTGTGAACCTGCTTGAACTTTTTGTCTTTATTGATAACTCTGAAGCATGCAGCTATAATAGAAACCCTTCTGCCAGCTTGTAATATTTGCAGGGACTCTAAAATTACATCTCAAAACATTTGGCCCCCATATGCACGCCACTGGTGCATCTGTTCTTTGATGTAATAGGAGATTGCACATTGCAGCCCAGAACTTCTATGACCTTCTTAGTCTTGAAATATTAATGACTTTCTGGGCAGATAAGAACAGACAATTGGAATTGGAATACAGCTCTGGAAGAGGAAGGGCAACTCTTTTCGTCTCACTGCAGCTGCCATTTTCTTGCAATGGCAGACTTTCCCACCGCTTTCCTGTGCAAAATTGACGCTGGTATATAATGCAGCATCGTGGAGTGAAATAAAAACCAACCCCTGGTTACAAAGCTCTGGGAGAGGCAGGAAAAACACAACTCTTGGTAAAGAGTTTATCATAATGTTCGACACTCCTTGTGACATATTCAGGCACAGTGAATTAACTCTACCCTTCCCTTAAGCGCAGTGCAGCTCCCAACCTTCCTTTCCCTTCTCCTCCCTTGGCCTAGGGCAGGGATGGGGAACTTGGGACTCTCCAGACCTTGTTGGACTGCAACTCCCATCAATTGTGTGAATGCTGACAGTGTTGGCTAGAGCTGATGACGGCTGGAATCCAGTAACATCTGCTTCCCCATTTCTGGTTTAAGGGGCTCTTGGCCAGAGAGCTGTATATAAGCCACTTAAGTGGAAACGTCTCCCTTGGCAGGTTGTGGACTCTCCTTCCTTGGAGGTTTTAAAGCAAAGGTTCAATGGCCATCTATCATGGATGCTTCAGCTGAGATTCCTGCATTGCAGGGGGTTGGACTAGGATCAGTGGTGGCCAAATACCCATCATCCCTAGCTAACAGGACCAGGGGTCAGGGATGATGGGAATTGTAGTCCCAAAACAGCTGGAGGGCCAAGTTTGGCCACCACTGCACTCCAACTCTATGATTCTAAGTTACAAACACATGTGTTGAATTCCACCCTTCAACAATTTTGGCCAGTAGGCTAGCCAACTATTCCCCACTGGTTTCTTTGATCAGCCACGATGGATAAAGGTCTAAATTTTTGTGCTGGTGTTCTCAAGTACTGAGGGATGTGCCTATGATCCTTGAACTACTTTTACCAGTAGGAGATCTGTTCCAGGAAATGAGCTTCTGCAAATGCTTCTAGCAGCCTGTAAGCTCAAAGGGGAAAGGATATACGAGCCTGCATGCATATTAATAATATTTTTAATTTGCTTTTAAACAACAAGAGCAATATTATTGCTAAGAATTTTTCCTCCACCCATACAATGCAGGGGTTATTGCCAAGCACCTGCCTTTGATTTTGTACTTTTCTTCAGCTTGTGTACCAACCAATTCTTGTTAAATATTTATGGACAAGATTAAAGACTTTATAAAACTTTGCAGCTGGCAGCCGTCCTCGCCTAAAGGATAACACACTGAGTTTTCATTTTAATTGGATAACTATGTGACCGAAATATACAAACCCCAAGGGATATGCAGACATTAAAATATGTAATGCAGTTCATTTTTAAAAAACTGAAAAGGGATCCTTTTACATTTCATCCTTTCCTTTCCTTTTCCCTTTGGTAGCTGTTACAAATGCAGACTGATTATTTCACCTTTGCGCATTTGTGGTTCTCTGCTGCCGTTAAATTTCTGAAGAGGCATTTCATTTATGTTGCACACTGAAAGAATTAACTATAACTTCATTTCCCTTCATTCAACCCTCTGCCATCATTCTTTCTCTTGATTTCATTGACATTATTAGAAACACTCACTTCAAGTCAGTCTCTTCTTAAGGTGGACTCTGCCATCACTGAG